ATCTAATCACACATCTTCTCTTAAGTGTGTGCAGTTTTTCCTCTGTAGGACACCAACAGATTTTTCAAGAAGGGAAGGAAGAGGAGGAAGTAGGACTGATCCTTTCCATCTCTGCGGATTGGCAGTTAAGCACTAACAGGCTGGCATCCTTCAGTGGAAAGCACAGATTACTGGGATGCGTTCTGGTAACAACACTGATAAAGGTGCCACAATTACAGCTGAAATACCTACTTCCAAAAAACCTGAATTAAACTTCTAGAAACTACTTGGAGAGAAAAATCAGCTGCTTTCGTCTTCAGCCACAACTTGTGCAAGTTAGAGAAATAAACTGTACTCCACTTGCACACAAAATCATGTTTCTGCATGTTAGAAAGTAGGTAAACTTTTCTTTTCCTAAAGCAATGATGCCATTAAAATTGCCTTTTGCTAACTTTAATTAGGTTAAAAAAAAAACAAAACACACTGCACAACACACTTTGTACCTTCTTAAATGCAAGCATTCTCAGCAATCTTGATAGCTGATTTCTCTGACAGAACTGAATTCCAGGTTATGACAGTTTTGAAAGCAAGCATATAAAGTCTAGTCCTTATTTCATCGCAGCGAATTCCAATAACTGTTTAATGTATACCTCATGACAACATGAAAAATTAAAACTGTGTCTACAGCTTAGACTGCTGATGACTGTAAAGTTGAACAACCATGTAAAACTACTGACATGTACCAAAAGCAAAATAGCCACAGGTGTGTTGCCAAGAACGGAGCTCAGGTACAAAGTAAAGAGATGAATTTTGGACATTGGTTTCATTATTGGCTTTTATATGCCTCCCAGAAAACATCAGCAGAAGCTAAACGCGCTGTATTCATGCAAGTGCCAAGAAGTCTGTGAAGTCTCTTCATAGAGGAGAATCAGATATAATAATACAATTTCACCTTTTGTTTCAAAGGAATAAATTCACCTGTTTTAACTGACTTCTTCTCTTTGACAGAAGAATAATATTTTCATTGAGAGCATCCCAGTCTTTAGCTTCATAACACATCTTCACTATTGCCACTAAGATACGCGATGTGGAAACCATGTCAGAAGCCTGTAACAGATAAGCAGTGTATTAGTGATGGAAAAAACAACCTGCAGATCTGTCACTTGCATTGCTATGATATAAAGAGGAAAAAAATCCACTGTATCTCATCTCACTGATAAGAATGACAAAAGACTGATGCTACAATTCCCTTTAACTTTAATACAATAGAACAGGGGGGAGGTGTAGACCAACACAGCACTAAATGATGCACACCACACTTACCGTTCGTGTTTGTTTTTCCAAGGAGAGAAGGTTTTCAATTACTTCTTGCAATCTCCCCTCCTAGTGCGATAGGAAAAGAAAGTTAAAAAAAAAAATCAGTAAAAAGTAAAAGCTTTGGGACTGCAAAATGTTTAGAAACAAGAAGATGAACGACAAAAGAGAGAAAAAGAAAGCTGGTTCTAAAACATACCTATTGCACTGAAATTCTTCCAAAGTATATACATTGGTCTGAAGGATGTGCTCTTACTGCCACTGAACATACATATTATGTGGGAAAGAAACACGGCCACGATGCCCATCCTTACACAGAGCTTCACCCATGGGATAAAACGTCTGTGCTAGTAGCAGTCTGAGGGCAGCAGAGCACACAGCCTTCTTATCTGAAAGCTACTACCTTCAAAATCCTACAATATACCATACAGCCCGGAACGTCTCTGACCAGACCTGCTGATCAAGCAAAGCACCGCCAGTGCATAGGAACCAGATGCCATCCTGCTGAAACAGGACAGCAAACCCAGTCCCATTGCTGTTGGGTTTGAGAGCCTCTACACTGCAAAACAAGGTGCACAGAGAAACCTCAAAACAAGTCCCGTAGATAACGCTCAGCTGCACCGTACCCGCACCGAGCGGCCGTGCACAGCCGTTACTCAGCACAGCCCCGCTGGCGGCCACGGCTCCGCTGCTTTTCGGGTCGCACACAGCTGAACCGCGCGGCTGCCGCGCGCCGCCCGCCATCCTGACTCGGGACAACAGCACGGAGGCGCCTGACGCGCAGCGCTCCTGTAAGGAGCGGCCACCTCCGCCCCGTCCCGCACCCCGCAGCCTCCAGCTCGGCCCCTCTCGGCCCGCAGCCCGGCCTCCGCTCTCGCCTCGCTCAACCCGGGCCCAGCCCGCACGGTGCCATGACTCAGCCCATCCGCACCGCCCGCCTTTCCCCCCTCCGCACCTGCGCCAGCCTCTCGCACTCGGGCAGCCGCTGGTCCACCGTCGCGCTATAATCCACCTCCATTTTCACGATGCGGCCATCGGCCCGCTCCGCGCCGCCGTCCGCCATGGTCCCGGCTCTGCTCCGCGTACCCCCGCGAACACACACACACACACCGGAAGAGCGCGGCGCGCAGGCGCAACCGGGACAACCCGGCGGAAGGGCCCGCACTGCACCAAGCAGGCGCTGCTGAGGGCACCTCTGAGCGGGGTGAGGCGGGACGTGAGGGGGGCGCCTCTGTGAGGCGGTCCGTGCAGGGCCAGCGGGCGGTCGGTGGAGCGGGATTTCCCGCCACTCGGTGTGGCGGTTTGCTGCCCGCCAATTGCCTCAGCGCCCCTCGGGCTGCTGGCTGAGATGTTCCCACGCTGTGGTGATGCTCGCATTTCACGTGTCCGTAGTGTGAGGGAGATGTGTGTGTGAGTAAGGGGGGAAGGGGAGTGAAGTCAGTACCACCGCGATTTTACGCCATTTCTCCGCATTCTGAGGCAAACGCAGCGTGAATGTGGCGTAGCGCAGCCCCGGGTGCAGCACTGCTGTGTGGTGCGGGCGGAGCTGCGGGCAGCCCTCATGGCACAGCTTCCACTGCAACACCCACAGAGGATGTCCCCTAAAAGGCATCTGATGAACGTCCTTCTGAGAAAAAGTCCCAAGTTCCAAAGGTTGTTGTCGGAGCCGCCGCTTCTCCCTCCACACGCGTGCACAGACAGCGCAGGGAGGAGCTGTGGCAGAACGTGTGGGGCAGTGCAGCAGGCACGGGAGGTGCGTTTGGTTTCCATTTGACTTAGCGATGAAGTCGCTTCAAGGCCCCGTGCAAAGTTCAGTTTTTACAGTGTTTTTTTCAGCAGGAGACCAGATGATTCTTTTTCCCCAGTTCATTTAACTAATAAATCACAATTGCAGTAAGTAGATCTGAATTTGGATCTCTGTCCTCTATAGGTGATACTACAGGTACTGCCTCGTTTGGGCTATTTTGCATGAAAGTTTCATTAGTATGTGCTACCAACGTTATGGATCGTGACTACAAGCTGGATGTTTACAAATGGCTGTTGTCAAATTTGAAGCAGAAGACGTAAACCACATTGTTCAAGCCTCGCTTGAAAGCCCAGGCTGTTAGCAGAGCTCCTGGATTTTCTATTTCTTTGTGTTCCACCGGGAAGTCAGGGTGTGTGAAATATGTGCCGTTAATGGAACGGAGCAAAAAAATTACATCGTTAGCTCCAGGAGATGGCACTGCATCCTGCCTGCGCTTCAGATGATATACATCGCCTTGAGATCTACGTTCAGAGCCAATGAAAACCTGAGGGGTTCTGCTCTTGTTATGAAACGCGTTTCATAGTAGACCTCAATTCGTGTCCAGCTGCCCCCAGTATGGCATTTGATCACTCATATCTTTGCAAATAAATTAGATGAAAGTGCAGGTGTGTCTTCTGCCACTGTGCAGCGCTTTATATTTCACACTGCAGTCACAGGGCTTCCCTGCAAGCTGTGTTTTATGGCCATTCACTTGATAGAAGCAGCAATGTACACATGCCATGATTTATTCACAGTTACATAAGCGCTTGGCTTTCTTAGATGGCTTCAGAGTTAGCTGCCTGTGTAGAGTGAGGTGGAAATTAATAACAATTTATCTGAAACAACAAGAAAAAAAACACTAGAAAAAAAAAGGTTTAGCTATCAGGAAGAAGAAAGAAAAGGCCTCCCCCAGCGGTCCTGGCTTTGTTGTTCGATTGGGAAGGAGACACTTTGTCACTGAACTTTGCATGCGGCATTTGAAAGTAAATAACTGAGACAAAAAAAAAAAAAAAAAAACAACCAAAAAAAACAGTTTTATTTGTGCAGCCAATTCGGCAGGCTGATAGCGACGGGCTGACCAGAAGGGAAATGGGTGAGGCCTTCACATCCTGTGCGGGTATCTCCCCTGCACACACTGCGCGCTGCTGTTGTAACGGAGCCGTGCGGGCAGCCCCGGTTGCGCCCTCGCAGAGCGCCGCCTCGCCTTGTCTGCGGCCGGCAAAGCGCGTCCCAGCGGGGTGGGGGTGCGGCCAGCACAGCTCCTACAGCCCGCGGTGCCCCCGTCCCGGAGCCCCCTCCCCCAACCCGCGGCTCCCCGTGCCGGGACGCTTAAATCCGCCCCATTGGCGGCGGCCGCCGCCCGCCCTCCTTCCTGCCGCGCCGTGATGTCAGCCGCGCCCCCGCCGGGGCTGCCGCTCCGCGGCTCCATCCAGGCCGGCCGCAGCCCGCCCGCCCCCAGCCGCACCGCGGGGCCCCGCGGCCGCCGAGCGCTGCCCCGAGCCCAGCGGGAGCAACGGCGGTCGGGGAGGAGGCGGGAGCCGCGCTCGGCAGCCGGGGGAGGAAGCGGCAGAAAAAGCCTTTGTCTCGGAAATCGGCGTCGCGGCTCTCCTGCCGGCGGGGCGACAGCCGCGTTCCGGCTCGCTCGGTCTTTTCGCCGCCCCGGGCATGTCTTGACACAGCAGCGAGAGGCCGCCGCTTTCGTGCGCTTCCGACGGATGTCTTTGGGCGTGCGACGGCGCTTCGGCTTCGAGACTTCTTTGTAGAGGTCCGTGCGTGTGCGAAATTCACATGATCGCGGGCTGAAGGAGGAAGAACGGGAAGAAAGGAGCGGTTGTGCTGCCGTTCTCCGCCCGCCCGGCTGCTCGCGGGGCTGCGCGGCGGACTCAGCGCCGAACGCGCACGGAGACGCGAGGGCACGAAGGCGATCCGCTGCCCCGCGCGCGGCTGCGGGCGCGAGCACTGCGCGGCATCGAGCGCTTCTCGGCTGGCCGCTCCGCACCGACGCACGGGAATATGCTGATGAAGGAGTACCGGATCTGCATGCCGCTCACCGTGGAGGAGGTAAGCTGCGCTCGGCTGCTCCCGGGCTCTTTTCTGCCGAGGAAGTTGGGGTCGGCTTCGCTGCGGGCGTTTGTCCTTCGTGTAACAAACTTGGGCTCGTGGCTGCCCGGAGAAGCATGTCTGCCGTGCAGGATAGAGGCGTCCTGCGGGAGGGAGGTGACCGGAGAGTGTGAGAAGGCCGACGGTCAGCTCGGAGCTCCTGCAACCGGACGAGTGGGAGAGGAATTCGGTGCGCGCTTCGAGGGCTGTGCGGTCGGATCCTGAACCCGGGGGAGGTTTACCCGAAGCCCGCATTATAAACATATCCTCACCTTTGCTCAAAATAACCTTGTAGATAGAACTAGCACAGGTGGGGTACGCAGGCGGTAATTTATTGGCAAAACTTTGTTTTGTTTTAGTTCTGTTTTTTTTTTGTTTTGTTTTTGTTTTGTTTTTTTTTTTTTTTGTCATGTAACGAAACGGTTGGAAGTCACAGACTGCTTTTTCTCCGTGTTCTGAATTCACGTTCGGAACGCTACGCTTTATTTATCTGCTGACGCCCCGCACTCTACGTGCTTACAGCTCTAGGTGCGATAGCAGTACAGGTACAGCACGCGCACTGTACGTTCTTGCGCACACGCGCAGCGCACGCCCGGAGGCGCAGCAGTGCCGGTGTCCGCAGCCGAGCGCGGCGGGGCAGCGGCGGGGGCAGCCGTCGGCGCGCCCGGAGCCGTTTGGCCGCCAGGGGGCGCTCCGCCCGCAGGTGCCGCGGGCTGTGGCCTGCGCTGCTGTGCGGTTCGTGTTGTTGCGCCTTGAAGCCGCCGCGTGTTGCCTTGGGCTGCTCGTGCCTCGTGCTGGGAGCGGGACTCCGAGCCGCCGCGTGCCTGGGGGTACGTCGGTAGGCATCGCTTTTGTTTCTGGTGATTTTTCGACGGAGTTATGAAACGCATTGTGCTGTTGTACGGTAGCTTTTCAATACACAACTTTATTCGGTTATCGTATTATGATAAAGTAGACCACATTTTATCTGAGCCAATTCAGACTACTGCGCTTGTGAACATCGTCTCATAATGTCATCAGAAGGAAGCAGATCTAATTCATGTTAAGAGGATCTAAGTTTTATTAAACAAGCTTTCTGGGTAGAGAAAAGTTCAAAACGTTCCCTGTGCAGGAATGGCTGATGTGTGGTGGGACAGGAGGTGCTGGAAGCCTCCTGCTCTAAAGAATGTTCTCAGTTAGCAAAGGTACAGCTTCTAGTTTGTTCGACCTGGAATCTTCCAGGTCCTTAATCCAGGAACTGCAGGTGAGGTGGCTTCACAATGGACCTAGGGTGTGTCTGATACATGGCAAGAACTTCATTATTAATTATACAAACAATCAGTGACAAAACTTTGAAACTTTCATAACTTTTTTTTGTATTGTTTGCTTACAAAAAAAGTCTTGCACTGTATTTCTCATAGTGCTCATCTTTGTGATGCCTCCTACAGTCTCTGAAGGTGGCATTGTATTTTGCCTTCAGTTCTACAGGAAGCACCAACGATGTGTTTCTTTGGGTCTGTGTAAGAGATGCATTAGGCAGCCGCGAGGAGAACCTAAAGGCGCAATTACTGAGATGCTGTGGCACTATGCTCTGGTTCCTATTCAATTCTGAGGCTCATCCATTAAAGGGAACTTTTATTGACAGGTTTTTAAGGGCTGTTACATATATACTGTTGTAAGCTCCCAGCTTAGCCTTGAAATAATGTGAAAGGAAGTATCATGTGAATTTCCAAGCAAAATGACAACTACTGGAAGAACTATGCAGGTTAGATCAGAACATGGCTGTTGGTTGAATAAGCCAACAACATTGCCAATTGGAAGTCACTTTGTACTTCATTTGTGTTGCCACTGGATTGCACGTATGCAAATACACTCCTTTTGTTAAAACTGAGACCTTACAAATTACAAAAAGCCATTTCTTTTCAGCAATACATAAAGCAAGTTAAATCTGTTGCAGTAATTGCTTGGGATGTGTTGCCAAACTTCAGGCCAGCTGCAATTAATGAATAAGCTTGCTTCTTGGTTATTTCTCTTCTTGCATTTTCGTTTATTAGTTCATTCTTACAAATAATGTAAGAGAATATCATAAGAGGGTGCATTGTGTTGGCTTTATTAAGCATCGTCTGTTGAAAACATGTTCTGCAGCAAATGAAAGGAGCACCGAGTCATCCAGAGTAGCAAAGATGCTTGAAAGTTGTCCAACTCTTTCTCTGCAAATCAGAATTGTGTAATTCCTCATAGGAAGGATCATATGGTTTTGTGCCATAGAGGTGCCTTTATGTGAAATCTGCCAGGTGAGCGCGTTTGTGAGCTTCCACTTTGGAAGAGGTGAAGCGTGGTGAAGTTGGTGAAGTTGATTTATGTGGAAAGTGATATTTTTTAGGGGGAGTAGGTGGAAAGACATTTCTGCTGGATCATGTTGAAAGTGGAGTTGTTAGTGCTGTAAAATGCTAATAAAGATGTGATGCTGGGTCACATACATTTTAAAGCTGCATGTAAATTACAGTAATCATCTTTTTCTTTACTTGGAAGTGGGATGGGTTTGTTCTGATCTATGTATGTGTAGGTAGTATCTAAACAAATGAAAACCAAACAAACAAAAACAGAATTTCTTTCCTTTGTTCTTTATCTCAAGCAAGATTATCTCTGCTGAAGTTGGTGGAACTGTGCCCATTCGATGCTGTAAACACAAGCTCAGTGAGTTCTGTGGGCAGTGCTGCCTGAGTGAGCTGCGCAGGAGCAGCTGTGCTGCCGGAGTGCAAACAAGCAGAGACCTGCAAAGTGTTCTTCAATGGAGATTGCGATTTACACCGGAGATCCTTTTAGCACTTACTTAGAAATGATGGCCTGAGGGGTGCTGTGATTCCTTTTTTTACCAGAAGCACCCAGCTTTTAGCTCACTTCAGAATTCTGAGCATTATAAATTCTCCCATTGTGGATTGTTTACATAAAATTATTTCAGCAATGTGCTTGTAAGCAGTATTTGTGTTCTCTGAATGTTGTGTGCACTTCTCCTTTGAAAGATTTCATGGTCGGCTGTTTTGTGTACAAAGAACTTGTTAAAGCATGTTTTATGCCTGAGCTCAATGAAAGCATTTGAAGTGTTTTATGCTGAGAGCTGCAGGTGGACAAACCCATCTGTCTGTGTACCGGAGAAACCCTCAGTGGGGTGTGAAGTGTATGACACATTGCTCTAAGCTACTGATACTCACTCTGCAGTTAATACAGACAGATGAGGTCGTCTGAGCATTTTCTTTCCAGCTACAACCAAAGAACGTATTTTCACCAAAACGTGGATGTGTGCAACATCTGAAAAAGTGATGTGTTGTTTGTAAGCAAGAGCACTAGGGGCAAGCAGGAGGTGAAATTCAGCTGTTGAGTTCACTTTTAATGACCTGTAAATCAAACAAATCGGGCCGTGTCAGGAACATGGCCTCTGCAGAAATACTTACTGTGGCAGTTTTGAGCTGATGCTGTCCAGCAGAAATGAAGGCTTGTTGTGTGATTTCACTTGAGTCTGAACTGGAGGCAGCTATAAGATAGCTATACTCTTACGATGATCCCTTTAAAAGTTAGTTACAGCGCTATGAGAAGTGCCCCTTCTTTCTGTACTTGGTCATTCTTTTTGGAAGTGCCTTACAGGAACGTGAGAATTTTTGCCTTCTTTCTGCAGTTAATGGTGTGGAGGCTCTGCTGTGTTTGTCAGAGGGACAGACTCAATGACTGATCTCAAAAAAGTCTTTACTCCATTATGGACCCTTCAAAAGAAATCCCTGTGTACAACTCCCCACAAACAGCTGATCTGGTCTTTTGTGCATACTCCTGTCTGCTGTGTCACTGGGCCTTGGCTGCTCTGTGCCCTTACATTGACCCAAAGCTCAGGGGCTGCGAGGAACCTTTACAACAACACTGCAGATAAAATAAGTGAGTGAAAGCATCAGCACTTCTAGTACTAAGTAAGGCTTTTTCACTCTCTTTTGACACAGGACAGTCATAAGAATGAAGAGTTGGCAGTGAGAACTGTATTTTAGTGTGGGAAGGAAGTGAATGCCTTGCCTTAGCCTGACCTTCCCATTGCAGCCATGGCCACCTACACAGCAGTGAGGGCAGCTGACAGAGCTACACTGCAAATCAGGAGACCGAAAATAACTGATTTTCTTCTCCACTCTCATTAGCACATTGCAATACATTTCTTTGAGGGAAACAAGAAAACCTTTGTTCTTAGTTTTGGTGTAAATCATTAAAAAAATCTTTCAGTGCAGGGGATTAGGTATTACCTGAGGAGCTCCAAACTCTGTCATGCATCTCTCTTCATCTCTGCTGCTCTCGTCTCTTCTTGTCAACACTTCTCCAAGGGGCATATACATACAGCAAATAATACTGCACATTTGATGTGGTGGCAAAATATAGGGGCACGTTTTGCATTTCTCTTAAAAGACAATGCAGCTTGATGGTGCTCTAGGCCAGTTTCTAGCTAAAGCACTATATGGATGTGTGGATGTATTCTGATGCTGTCAAGAACTCCCATGAAGTGTTTATCTTTGAACCATAAAGTAGATTTGGAAACTACGGAACAGAGAGAAGGGCACAAAATGTCAATAATGCCTTTTACAATGCAGTGCTTTGTTGGCATTTTTATTATTTATTTTCTGGGATGAACTTCAAGCTACTGAGAGCATGAAGTTCTTGTAAAAGTGGATGTGAATTCTGAAGGATCAGCACTTTGGAAATTGAGGCCCCTATCATTTATGTGCCTAATAATGAACACACTGACACCTTGATGTTATGTACTCTGGTATGCCAGGTGCATTTTCCTGGAGTCCAGTCTGTTCTTCTTTCTCGTGTGTCTAATTATAAGTTTAGAAATCAGATTTATACGTGTTTTCACCTGTTTGCTGACTGCTTCTAGTGAGTTGGGGTCTGAGGCAGTGATGGAGCACCTGGTGGGAAGGCAGGGCCAACCCAGAGGAGCTCAGGTGCGT